CAAAGACGGAATACATGATACCACTTACATGTTGAATCTAAAATAATCAAACTCATAGAAGCTAACAGCAGAATGGTGGTTGCCAGGGGCTGGGTGGATGGGGACAAAGAAAGTCATTTTTAAAAAGCATAAGAGACAAAAGAAAAAAATTCATAAATTAAAAGTTCACCAAAATAAAAACTTTTGTCTTTCAAGAGATGAACAAAAAAATGAAGACAGCCCACAGAAAATATTTGTAAATCATAGATCTGATAAGTAACTTGAAACCAGAATACAGAAATGACTCTCAATGAGACAATAACAATAAGACAAATAACCTATTTTAAAAATGGGCAAAGGGTCTTGGGGTGGCTGGGTGGCTCAGTCGGTTAAGCGTCTGCCTTCAGCTCAGGTCACAATCCTGGAGTCCCGGGATCGAGCCCCACATCGGGCTCCCTGCTCAGCAGGGAGTCTGCTTCTCCCTTTGCCCCTCACCCTGCTCGTGTTCTCTCTCTCACTCTCTCTCAAATAAGTAAATCTTTTTAAAAAAATAAATAAAAATAAAAATGGGCAAAGGGTCTGAACAGACGTTTCTCCAAAGAAAATACATAATGGGCAATGTGCAATAAGCACATAAAAAGATGCTGGACATAAACAGCTATCAGGGAAATGAAAACTGAAACCACAGTAAGTTACTACATCACACCCTCTAGGATGGCTAGAATTAAAAAAAAAAAAAAAACAGAATAACAAGTCTTGGGGAAGATATGGGGAAAATGGAACCCTCACACACTTTTGGTAGTAATGTAAAATGGCAGAGCTACTTTGGAAACACACTATTGGTAGTAATGTAAAACGGCGCAGCTACTTTGGAAAAGTCTGGAAGTTCCTCCAATACTTAAACATAGAGGTACCATATAATCCAGCATTCTCACACCTAAGTATATACCCAAGAGAAAGGAAAACATGTTCACACAAAACCTTGTACACAAATCTTTATACAAGCATCATCCATAATAGCCAAAAAGTGGAAATAACCCCAAAGTCCCTCAACTGATGGATAAGCAAAATGAAGCACATCTGTACTAAAAAATATTATTTGGCAATAAAAACAAATGAAGTATTGATACATGCTATGCCATAGATGAACCTTGAAAACATTATGCTAAGTGAAAGAAGCCAGTCACAAAATAATATGTATCATATGAGTTCATTTTTATGAATTTCCAAAATAAGTGACTCTGCACAGATTATAAAAAATAGATTAGTATTTGCCAGGATGGGGGCGGGGAATGGGGAGACAGGAGTAGCAGCTAAGGGTTATAAGGGTTTCTTTTTGGGATAATAATATTATAAAATATATTATGATGATGCACAGCTCTGTGAATATACTAAAAGTCACTGAACTGTATACTTCAAATGTGTGAATTGTATTGTATTTGAATTTTATCTTAATAAAGCTGTTTTAAAAATACAAATTTTTAAAAAGTGCCCCTATCTTTTATAGGTATATAATGAAGCATTCACAGCAAAATTGTATAACATTTGGTATTTGCTTCAAAATTATTGGGTAGTAAAACGGGGTGGGAGTAGAGACTGAGCTGGGTGATGGGTATGTGGGGGTTTATTGTACTATTCTTTGTACTTGTGTATGTTTGAAATCTACAACATAAAAAAAAAATTTGTAAAAAAGACCTAACTCTATGGTAAGGAAAGCCAAAATCTATGGTAAGGTAAGCCAATATCTAGAAGATGAGAACCCAAATGGGTAAACCTAATTCTCAAAGTCACTCTTGGCTTTTACCAATTTGCCAGTCCAGAGGAATCAGCTGCAAAACTGAGCTGCACTTCCACAGCTTCAAAGGACTAAGGTAACTAAAGTCAAAGCACAGGGTTTGCCAAAAGTGGGAACTCTTATAAACCAACCCCCACTTTACACTGGAAACCCAAAAGGCTATACCTTCAAGGTAAGAGTTCACCAGAAGTAAATTAGCCTTCTCACAGGCTGGCAGTCTACCACCTATGATCAAAGGAACCTTAGGCAAAGAACTTGGATTAGGGTAGTCCCAGACAAAGAGCACTCCTATGTACCTGTAGAAAGCAAATGAAAGTTCTCTCTGTAGGAAGATCTCACTCTAATCTTCTGATTCCTTCTACAAATAATATTCCAGGTATCCAGCACATGGCCAAAGATAACCAGACACACAAAGAAATCAAGCAACATGAGGAAGCAGCAGCAGAAAAAAGAGGCAACAGTTACACACAGAAACTTCTGATACTGGAATTATCAGACACAGATTACAAAACAATGCTTACTAAGTTTATTTATTTTTTAAAGATTTTTATTTATTTGACAGAGAGCGAGCACAATCAGGGGGAGCAGCAGCAGGAGAGGGAGAAGCAGGCTCCCCACAAAGCAGGGGGAGCCCGATGTGGGATTCGATCCCAGGACAACAGGATCATGACCCGAGCCGAAGGCAGACATTTAACTGACTGAGCCACCCAGATGCCCCAAACAATGCTTACTAAGTTTAAAGAAAGGAAACACTAGATGGGAAAAACAAGAAGCAAAAAATGACTACCTACAGACAAAGAAGAGAAAAGAAGGAGACAAGGATGGAAGCAAGATTTCTATAGTTTAGAATTTGGAATCAGGTAAATGCTTTACGTATTCTAGGAATGAAATTAAATTTTTAAAAGCATCCTCTAAAGCATGAAAAGAAACTGAAACCAATATATCAAAATATATATAAAATATAGTATATGCACTGTACAGTTTTAGTAGGATTTAGTCCAGAGGCAAAAAGAACTAAAATTATTTCAAATTTCATCCAGTAGTCTCATTATTAATAGTAATATAAATACTATTAATTTGAAACAAATTTTTATATATTATATGATAAGTCAGACAAGTTATAAAGGTGAGAAAAAGAAGAATATCAGAAAATCACTAAACTCTACAGCTCTGAAATCCCTCTATGTACTTAAAAACGTAATTTTATTCAGATACTGAAATCAATCAGTATGTTTTTGAAGGCCTACTTTTTTCACCATCTGGTCCCTGACTACATTTCAAGACCTCATCTCCTATCATGCTACTGGCTAGCCAGGTGGTTCTCAACCCTTGTTGTATATCAGAATAATTACATTAAAAAAGGAGATTCTGGATGTCACCCTAGAGTTACTAAATCAGAGTCTCAGGGTGGGAACAATCAAGGATGTCTACTTTGGAAAAGCACCCTGGGTACTTCTGTTAGGGTAGAACCCCTGCTCAAACCCTACAGTTCTACTTAAGGTCCTCAAACATGACAAGCTCTAAACAGGGGCCAGCAAACCATAGCCCATGGCTCGCATCCAACCCAATACCTGTTTCTGTAAATAAACTTTCATTAGCACACAACTCCGTTCATTTGTTTATCTACTGTCTACGGCTACTTTCACACTACACTGGCAAGGCTGAGTAGTCTCGACAGAGACAACATGGCCTACAAAGCCTAAAATACTTACCATCTAGCCTTCTAACAGAAAAAATCTACTGTCCCCTGCTCTATCTTTGCATTTTTGTTCAAATACTGCTCCTATCTTGACAAGATCATGCTCATAATTCAAAGCTTTGATTAGCATCACTTCTGTAAAGCCTGAATCGAGTAAGCACCCCTGTACATTTTTTCATTGTCCTCTGTACTTTCCCTGTATTACTCATCATTCTTTATTCTACAATGTCTATTTAACAACTGCCTCCCCAACTAGACTATAAGCTCTATGAGGACAACACCCAGATGTGTCTTGTTCACCACAGTGCCTGGTTCATTGCATGCACATATTAAGCAATTATTCAATGAATATCTCCCCCGTTCTGTACATTTCTTTTTCATTTTGTTTGATTCCTCAATGTTCCGATCTGTTAAGGGAATTCTGAATTAGATTCTATCAGTGTATTTGTAATCCCATCCTGTTGTGTCATCCACATGTTTGATATGCACACCATTTGAATTCCTCAAGTCACTGGTAAAGGAATGAAGTAACAAAGACCTAACACTATGGTAAGGAATGAAAATGACAGGGCTGATGATAAAGTCCTGAGAAGACCACATTCCCTCCCTTCCAGCATATTGATATCCATTAAATCAGCAGTATTTGGTGAAGACTCCAACTCTAATTATAATATTATCTAGCCTACATTTTCCATCATGTCTAGAAGGATTTTATGAGAGCTTCCACTTCTCCACAGCCTTTTCTTACCTGGTACCATCTCTACCCAAGCAGAACTGAACTAATAATCACTCCCCTAGCTTTCTCATGACTGTACCTTTTCTCATTTCACCTCTCTGTATTACAGTAACATTTACAAGTCTGTCTGCCACAAGCCCAAGCAAGCTCTTGGGAGGGTAGAAACTTCCTTAAGAGCGGTGGGGGGTGGGAGGCATGGGGTGGCTGGGTGATAGACATTGGGGAGGGTATGTGCTATGGTGAGCGCTATGAATTGTCTAAGACTGTTGAATCACAGACCTGTCCTCTGAAACAAATAATACATTATATGTTAAAAAAAAGAAAATAGTAGGAAGGGAAAAATGAAGGGGGGGAATTGGAGGGGAAGACGAACCATGAGAGACTACGGACTCTGAGAAACAAACTGAGAGTTCTAGAGGGGAGGGGGGTGGGAGGATGGGTTAGCCTGGTGATGGGTATTAAAGAGGGCACGTATTGAATGGAGCACTGGGTGTTATATGCAAACAATCAATCATGGAACACTACATCAAAAAAAAAAAACTAATGATGTACTATATGTTGGCTAATTGAACATAATAATAAAAAATAAATTAAATAAAAATTAAAAAAAAACTTACTTAAATTAACTTTGAATCTCCAGAACCTAGCAAAATGTCCAAAATCTAGCTGACACTTAAAAAGGAATGACTGAACACGTCTTACAATTCAGACACACTAAATTTACGGCATTTCCTATTTCTGTTATTATAATATTCCTATATAAAATCTAAAAATCCTTTAAATGCCCTTACCTGTAGCAGAAAGGAAACAGCATAATTCAATAGAGCAGGGTGATGAACTAAATTTAAACTGTTTTTATACTCTGCTATTCCAGTTTTTTCTAAGACTTCAGGGTCAATATATAATCCTTTCTGGAAAGGTTTGGATGTCCACAGGCAACCAACCATGGCTGTCAAATAGTGATTAAATTCTTGATAGGTCTTGCTGCTGAAATTGAACTCTGATTTTGTCTATTGGGAAAGAAAAAAAAAAATTCTCATTATCACCTATTCTCCCTTTCCTTCTTACTCCTAGTAGATCATATATATCCAAAACTCAATTTTTAAACACTGATGATTTAACACAGAGTTTTACCATCCATACCTTTTGTACCAACTCATTTTTCTTGGCAGCAGTCAAATTGTTACGATACCTAAAAGGGAGAATAGAATGAAATTTTGAACATTAAATGCTTTTGAAATGTAAACATAAACAAAAGTGTACATTTTAAATGTAAATATATGCAGATGTGCACATACACAAACACCCAGCTGTCTAGTTAAGGTTTTTATTACTCTGTGCTACACTCTTCTCAAAGAATAAAAATAGAGGCTCAAACATTAAGTTATACATTTAAGATATGCACTTGACAGTATGTAAATTATGCCTGAATAAAAAATAAAAAACAATGAATGAAATGCTCTTAATGTTGCATTATAAAAAAATTAATAGAGGTTCGAGAGCAGAAACTGATGGGGCACCTGGGTGGCTCAGTAGGTTAAGCAACTGACTTCAGCTCAAGTCATGATCTTAGGGTCCTAGAACTGAGCCCCGCGTTGGGCTCCCCACTCAAAGGGGAGTCTGCTTCTCCCTCTCCCTCTGTCCCTCCCCTCCCCCTGCTCGTGCTTTCTGTCTCTCTCTCTCAAATAAATAAAATCTTTTAAAAAAAAGAGCAGTCACTGATTTAAAACATGTTTTCTTAATGTAGAAAAAAGGTACAGTAGAAAGAATAAAGGAGAAACTTAAAAATGTTTTTTTCTTGGGACGCCTGGGTGGCTCAGTCGGTTAAGCATCTGCCTTCGGCTCAGGTCATGATCCCAGGGTCCTGGGATCGAGTCCCGCGTCGGGCTCCTTGCTTGGCAGAGAGCCTGCTTCTCCCTCTACCTGCTCTGCCTGCTGCTACCCCTGCTTGTGCTCTCTCTCTCTGACAAAAAAATAAATAAAATCTTTAAATGTTTTTTCTTGCCTGGGAACTATTAATTAGTTTACAAACATTCTAACCTTGGCATAATCCTACAAGTTTTGCCAAAAGGGTCTATAACACTTGTGGACTAAAAAGAGTAATTTCAGCCTATAAATGAAAAACTAGAGGGGATCAGAAATAATACTTAGTTTCATATAATTGAAAATAGCTCCCCTAATCTCCCAGGAAATGTTCTTTTTATCATAGAAGTTATGTAGACCCAAATCAGTTGTCAGCAAATGACTAATTTTTCTTTAAGATACAGCAATGAGAATGAACAATGCTGAGTGCATCAGTACCACTGCACAAGATTCTTTAACTATGAATATTTTTTAATTTTTAAAAATGAGTGTAGCTGATATACAATGTTACATTAGTTTCAAGTGTACAGCACAGTGATTTGACAGTCTATCATTATACTATGCTCACCACTCACTGTGGCTATCATCTGTTACCATACAATGCTATTACAATATCACTGACTATATTCCCTATGCTGTGCCTTTTATTCCCATTAACTATGAATTTTTAAAATCCATATCCCCCACAGTGATATCTCAAAAACACAGTTTATTAAAATAGCCCCATATTGGAAGGTCATTACCAAAAGAAAGACATGTTTCTTATTTCCATAGGTTCTGGCAGAAAATGGAAATAGTTCCTTATTGTATTTAATATTTTATTATATTATATACAATAAGTTTATTATAGTGTATTTATAAATTATAATTTATTGTACAGTTGAAAAACAAAGATAGAAGTATGATGTGTTCATTTATAAAATACAAATGCTTTGTACCTGTGCATGATATAACATAGCTGGTTCAGGATACTGGAATCTAGGCTGAGAAGAGCAGAATAGAAGATCCCCAGAGGAAACAACACCACTAATGGAAGGTTGTAATTTATATATATGTCACACACCTTTTGGGAAGAATGATAACATCAGTATATAGATTATTCCCCAGATGCCCTCAACCAATTTCACACAAAGAATTAGCAACAGAGAATAAGCAATAACAGAACATAAAATTTGGGCCTGCCTAATTCATAAATAGAATAGGTAGCCACAAGCCTGCTTAAAAATGTACCTCACTAAACATCACACTTGCCATAGAGGATTATTTCTACAAGGTCATTACTAAAATATTCTATTTTTTCTGGGAAGAGATCTTCAAGTTGGGAAGAAAGGGGAAGGGAGCACTTCTTTCACCTTAAGTCCCATTAATACTGATTTATCATATTAGTTAGCTGTCAACCTGGAAAACAAAGGAGCATGTTTCTGCATAAATATATAACACAAGACAAGTAGTGCAGGGAGGAAGCCAGGAAAACTGAGATTAGTGGGTACTTCTAGGATAATAGTTCTGTCCACATCAAATAGTTTATAAAACAATCAAAGAGGGCGCCTGAGTGGCTCAGTTGGTTAAGCGACTGCCTTCGGCTCAGGTCATGATCCTGGAGTCCCTGGATCGAGTCCCGCATCGGGCTCCCTGCTCAGCAAGGAGCTTGCTTCTCCCTCTGACCCTCCCCTCTCTCATGTGCTCTCTCTCTCTCATTCTCTCTGTCTCAAATAAATAAATAAAATCTTTAAAAAAAAAATCAAAGAAGACCAGAATTATAGGTACTATGAGAAATAAGGTGGTTGAAAGGTGGAAGTGGAGAGCTGAAGAAACATCAGGGTGTTTTTTTTGTTGTTTTTTTTTTTGCCAGGGGTCTGGGATGTACAATGAATGAGCAAAAAGTGATGCTAGAGACAGACTCTGTCTAGGGTCAGCATTCTTCCAAGGAATGTCCACTGAAGCAGTTCCTGAACCTTCACAAAATGCACTTGTTTATCCACTTTATGAAAGTCAGTTATTCAGGTGAGAATATGATCATTAACTTCAAAATAAGTAGCTTATTTTAACTATGCTAATAAGGTCAAAACCCAACTAAGAGTTGTACATAAAATTTAAATAACAGAGCAGTAAAGCAGATAGCCATCACAAAAATCTAAATAGAAAAAAATGGGATGTGTACTACCTTCTCATAGAAATCCAAAATAAAGTGCAGTAAGAAAGTACTGTTGTTTTCCAAGCGCATTGCAGTAGTGGACAGCCGCCCCACGTACTGAATCAGTTCAGACACAGAGTTCATGGATCCACCTAAAGTTGTCTCTCTGCAATAAGAAATCGTGACATTTGGATACACATTAGCAAACGTTTTCACAATTTCCAAGCTAGAGGTAAATAATACATAGCAACAAGTTGCTGAGGATTTCAGAAAACGATCAGTGCTCCAATGTATAACTGATTTTTTTTTAAACCACAGTGATTAACCATAAAACTACACAGTCTCCAGAGAATCATTAAGATCAATTCACAGAACATCCTCAGCAACCACTCTACTAAATACCAGAGAAATAAAGGATTATGCTCCAGAAAGACTTTAGATAATATTACCAATGTCCAGGAACCACAGCATTTAGCAAATTAGTTTCTGAATATACAAATCAAGACCCAGTTTTACCTGAATTCCTGAGCTGAAATGCTATTAAAAATATTTTCACTTTAACTGAAATTCAGTTCAATCCTAACACTAAATTAGAAAAATTTTTGGCATCTTTCTATCTTCCACTAAAAACCAAATGTGGATATTTCATATTCTTCCCAAATCAATGAACTGTGTCTCTTTAAATCACACATGGGTATAACTGGTTCAATTCATCCATCTACTCACCCCTGTCCTTCAATCCACTGTTGAGTGGATTAGGAAAAGACCTAGAAATGTGATTTCATAGCTTTACCCTCTGATCTAGGTAGCCAACAGTGGTTATGCACAAGAAATAAAGAACAGCATATATAGTCTTAGAGCCAGAGAAATGATGACTCTACCACGACCCACCACCGTGATGGCTCAGTGCCAGAGTGAGCAGGGAAAGATTAGGAGATCATTCACATAGGTGGGCATCCATATAGTCAGCTGGCCATTTGCAAACTATGTATTAACTATGATTTTTGGCAGCACCAGGCAAATGTGTCTGAAATAATTTGAACAGTGATGACGGCTCAGAACATCATCCTCTGAAGTCTTTCTCCACAGGACACCAGAGGCATTTTGGATGAAACAATTCCTTATTCAGGATTGCCTCCTACTCCCCACCCACAGTAATACGTTTACCATCCTTGGCTCCCACCTACTAAATAATGGTAGCACACTCTTCCCATTCACTGCACCAACCAAAAATGCCCAATGAAGAACCACTTCTGAGAACGGTTTCCTACCCTTCTCTCCTTGTGATCTACAACTACAATTTAGTCCCTCTTTGACAGTCATGTGGCATATGGTCATGAGAGGGACATGGCGTTACATCCGTATCTCCAAAATAAAAGGAGTTACTGAGAACCTAAGAACTGTATTATAGATAGCAGCTCTTTCTGCCCCCTGGTCCTGTCCCCGTGCTGTAATAAAACCACCATTTTGTACCCAAAAAAACCCCTGTATTAAAAAATGCCAAATGGTATTATGACATTAAAGTTATCTACATTTATGTCCATTTGCTTAAGAATTTTAGAAAACAAAGTTTTTATTTTTTTAAAGATTTTTAAAAAATTTTATTTGAGAGAGCAAGAGCGAGCAAGATAGTGAGAGAGTGAGAGAGAGAGAGAGAGAGCACAAGTGGGGTGAGGGGCAGAGGGAGAAGCAGAGTCCCCCACCAAGCAGGGAGACCAATGCGTGACTCAATCCCGGGACTCCTGGATCATGACCCGAGCCGAAGGCAGATGCTCAACAGACTGAACCACCCAGACACCCAACAAAGCTCCTTTTAAAATGCCCTCCCATGATGTTATGAGCACTGGGTACTATATAAGGCTGATGAATCACTGAACTCTACCTCTGAAACTAATTGACATACATGTTAATTAATTGAATTTAAATAAAAATAAATAAATGCCCTCCCAAAATTTAGGACACTAATTTAAAAAGGCTCCTAGGATTTTTGGAAATACAGAAATTGTAAAGCTCCTATATCGGGGTGCCTTAAGACTTCCATTGCAAAGTGCCCGAAGATTATAAACTCAAACATACTATCCTTAATAGAATTGGGATGTTTGAAGAGGCTAAACATTTAATTTATGATCGTGGTTCTCAAACTTTAGCTAGCACCAAAATCATGAGAGCTTTTGTTAAAACACAGATTACCAGAATTTACTTCAGTAGGTCTAGGTTAAGGCCTGCGACTTTGCATCTCTAACAAGTTCCCAGTGATGCTGATGCTACTGGTCCAGGGACCTGACTTTGAGAAGCACAGCCTTACAAGATGCTTTCACTACTCATAATGCTCCATTTCCTTCTAAAAGTAACCAGACATACATGATCTATGGACACACTGCAATAATGAATATGAAGAACTAAAAACAATTTCCAGGCAACTCCCAAAAAGCTTCTATTCACCATGCTCCTCTCAAAGTAAGAGATCACTAAAAGGATAACACATAGAAAAGTAGGAGCTAATCTACCAAGCTAACCACTAACTACGTGCAACTGAAGCTAAGGGATCCTTATACTTATAAAGTAAGACTATGACTGATAATATAGGGAATTTGAATGCTGATTAGATATTTAAAGATATTAAGAACTATTGGTTCTTTATAAGACAGACAAAGAAAGACAAATACCATGTCACTTATATGTGGAAAAACAAAACAAGTGAATAAAGAAACAAAAAACCAGAAACAGACTCATAAATACAGAGAACTGATGGCTGCCAGAAGAGATGGAGGTGGGGGTGGGGGCAAAACAGGTGAAGGGGATTAGGGATTAGGAGGTATAATAACTTCCAGTTATAGAATAAGTCACAGGGTTGAAAAGTACAGCATAGGGAATATAGTCAATAATATAGCAGTAACTTTGGTGATAAATGGTAACCACATTTATCATGGTTAGTACTGTGCCAATATACAGAATTGTCAAATCACTATGTTGTACACTAATAAAATATTGCACATCAACTGTATTTCAATTAAAAATGTTTTTAGGGCACCTGGTTAGCTCAATTGGTTAAGTGTCTGCCTTCAGCTCAGGTTGTGATCCTAGGGTCCTGGGATCAAGTCCCGCACTGGGCTCCCTGCTCGGCGGGGAGTCTGCTTCTCCCTCTCCCTCTGGTCTTTCCCCTGCTCGTGCTCTCGCTCATCTCTCTCTCTCAAATAAATAAATAAAATCTTAAAAAAAAAAGTTTTTAAATGGTGATAAAATGAAGCTATTAATTCATTTGGTGTTATACTGGTTATACAGCTGAAATGATGTCTGGGTTTTGCTTTTTGCTTAAGAAAATCTAGAGGGCGCCTGGGTGGCTCAGTTGTTAAGCAACTGCCTTCGGCTCAGGTCATGGTCCCAGGGTCCTGGGATCGAGTCCCATATCGGGCTCTCTGCTCCGCGGGAAGCCTGCTTCTCCCTCTCCCACTCCCCCTGCTTGTGTTCCCTCTCTCGCTGTGTCTCTCTATGTCAAATAAATAAATAAAATCTTTAAAAAAAAAAAAAAAAGAAAATCTAGAACAAAGGAAGAAGAAAGTGAGGAGTATTAGAAATTAAAAAAAATTAGAGGCACCTGGGTGGCTCAAGTTAAACATCTGACTTCAGCTCAGGTCATAATCTCGGGGTCCGGGATCATGCCCCGAGTCAGGCTCCCTGCTCCCTCTCCCTCTGGCCGTCTCCCAGCTTGTGCGTGTGCATGCTCTCTCTCTCTCAAATAAATAAATAAATAAAATCTTAAAAAAAAAATTAATCATGACCTGGTAACTGCTGAAGTTAGATGATGCATATATAGGGGCTACACTGTACAATTTTCTATACTTTTTTTTTAAAGATTTTATTTGGGGTGCCTGGGTGGCTCAGTCGGTTAAGTGCCTGCCTTCAGCTCAGGTCATGATCCCAGGACCCTGGGGATTGAGTCCTGCATTGGGCTCCCTGCTGGGCGGGAAGTCTGCTTCTCCCTCTTTCCACCCACCTCTCCCCACTCCCCGCTCGCTCTCTTTCGCAAAAATAAATATAATCTTTAAAAAAATAAAATATTATATTTATTTATTTTAGAAAGAGAGCATGAGCAGGGGCAAGGGCAGAGAGAGAGAGAATCCCCCTATTTTCTGTACTTTTGATTATATTTGCAATTTTCTACAACAGAACATTTTTAAAAATTAATGTTAAAGAATAATGTGGCTGATAATATAGGAGAAACAAAAGATTTTAGTAGAAAGAGTCAAAGCACACCTTTAATAATAATCAACATAATGGAAATCTGGGGCTCTTTCTTTATTCCAAAGTGAAAATAATGTATATAGTCAATTAATTGACTGATTAATATATATAATCAAAAGACACCAAAGAAACAAAAAAAACCCCACAAAACTGTACAGCAAAGTTACAGATTTTCCTAGCCATTATCAGACTGACTTTACATTTAAGTAAGAACATGTTTTATAAAGTGAGCTAAACTGAACGGAAGCCAAAGATGTAAGTTCTAATGTCATCTCTCCAATGTTTTGCTACAGTAACTCTTGCAAGTCACTTAGAGGCTTAGGGTTTGCTGATTTACAGAACTGAACTTGAAGAACTACCCTTCCTCACAGGATTGTAGGGAGAAACGAAAAGTAACAAAAAAATTTTTAGAAAACTATGACTAAGCATTTACAATAAGGTCTCATGCCACACTATTAAATTCTATATGCAAACATTTTTGTACAGATCATCTCTTGTGGAGTGTTGTATGAGAACTCACAGAGGACTGTTCATCACAGGTTTCATGTGGATGTCTGCAGAAAGCCACAACAGCCAATTCTGCAGTAGTTCTTTCAGACTCTGGAGAACACTACACTGAGAAGGCAAAACGAAACAAAAATCATTCATAAAATCATTCAGACACACTTTAGTGTTGAGAACTAACAAATTAAACCAGAGGCTTAGAGGTGGAAGGGACCGTGGAGATGACTGCATCCAGCTCTTGGGTTCTGCATCAGAGCCCAATAGCTGCTACTCCAGCCTGATCAGTCTCCAAGAGACAGATGAATGTGAGTACAAGTTTATTTTGCCATTTTCTCTACAAGACTGCCCCCAGCTTATCAGCCCAGGAACAGACTCTCGTTTCTCTAAATTACATTCATTTATAACATATATTACATCTCCAAATACAGTATCACCCACTCCTTCCTGTCTCCCCTCAGAGATCCTTTGAAGTTGCTATGGAAATGAGTTGCCTATCCTTTTCACCTTGTGTCACAACTATAATTTACTCCCTTTTTGACAGTCATAAAATTTATCTCACCTTCTGTAACTGGAAAACAAACAATTCTAGTCTTTCCTTTCTCAGGCTTTGCCTTGATTTCTCAGGGCCTCATTTACATACAAATACAGTCTTGATGGAGATGTGCCCAGAGCATTCATGAGGATAAATCTATAAATTTGAAAGCTCTCCATATCATCCCAAAACCTAATATAGGAAACCTTTATTACATATCCTTAACAAATAATGGCCTAGATACTATTTGAGTATCTCCAGTGATAGGATGCTCACTTCATAGAACAGTTCAATTAATACTTTTTAAAGAAACTGACACCTTGAATTCAGGTTATAAATATGTTCAAGTTGAAAGTGACCTTGGAATCACCTAAAACAATGTTCTATTTTAGTGTCAGTCAAGGATTTGAACATTTGAAAAGGTAGTCAGTATTACTGTCATATTCAGAAAACTTAAATCCTTTTATTTCCCACTCACCTATTCTAATCCACCCAGTCACCACATTAAAGTAATAAGACTTTTGTTTATGAGAGGAATGTGGGTTAAAAAAAATGTTGAGAAGCACAGATCTAACCTACATATGAAACTTCTCTACATAAATATCCCCAGTAGATATAGCCATCAAGCCTATGCCTAACCTACTCTAACACCAAGAAATATACTAAGGAAATATACTATGTCCCAAGGTCATTTATTTCATTTTTAGTTTGCTCTACCTGTAAAAAGATACTGCCCTATATCTAATCTTGCCTCCTGAAGTCAGACAGGCTTCTGCTCTTTCCATGGGACAATCCATCAATTACTTGAAGGGACCCACAAAATCTTAGACCTCCAGGCAAAATATCCCTGCTTCCTTTACTATACCAAGCTAGAAATCGTAAAGTCATCTAGTGTCCTTCATGCATTACTTCATCACCAAATCCTATCTTTTTTTTTTTTTTCAAAATGTCCAACTTTTCCATCTCCTTCCAATCCCACTGTAACTACCTTAGCCCAGGCCTTCAGATCTCTAAGATTACTTTATCCTCCTAGTCAGTCTTCTTTACTCTAGTCTCATCTCCCAAACCCCAATTCTTTCTCGATGGCTGCCAGACCCTTGTTATTTAAGTACTCTATCCATTATATCTATCTGCCCTCAAAAAACTGTGTATGGCAAAGGAATAACAGCATGTAACAAGGTCATAAAAAATGGTCAAACTCCTTCCTTTCATCCAGTAACTTTATTCCTGGAAATGTATGCTGACAGAATAAAGAAATCTGTACTATGAAGATGATCGATATAGTTCTCTATTCCTACAAAGAAACAAATTAGAAATAATAATAGAAAAAAATTAATTCTGGTATAACATCTATGGACTATGACTAGATATCTGACTATATTTGACGAATTTTGTATTCTGGTTTTTAAATTTATGTCCACTGTTTTTGTAATTATACAGGAGACATAAATCAATGTGGAAAGAAATTAGAAAATTAACACGCCACAATGAAAATAGCATTGTTACAGTAGATTTGTGGAATTTTCTCAGTTCAAAATTCTTCAGTGAAAAAAGTTGTTTGCTGATAGACATAACTGGCTAAGCACAAACAAAAGCACTGAAAATGTGAAAATATTTTAATAGACTTTTAAAAATACTATTTATTATATTAAACTGGATAATCAAGCTATACAATAGCTAAAGTAATAATAATTTATTTAAAAACTCATAAACTATACTCTGGTTTCTCTTCAGATCATATAATCTTTTGCCTTTTAAAAGCCTCATAAACTGGGGTACCTGGGTGGCTCATTCAGTTGAGCATCTGACTCTTGATTTCGGCTCAGGTCTTGATCTCAGGGTCATGAGATAGAGCCCCACATTGGGCTCTGTACACAGTGTAGAGTGTGCTTAAGATTCTCTCTCTCCCTCTTCCTCTGCTCCCCCCCCCACATAAATTTAATATAATAATAATAATAATAATAATAATAATAATAATAATAATAATAAAAGCCTCATTAACTGAATCTTTAGCTAATTCTACTACATGTCACATTGCTGTTATCCTTAGCCACCTCCCAAAATGAAAGACCCTCTGGTCACTTATCCTTTCTTATACTGTATTTTCTGTGCTTGTTTCCCCCTTTCATCAATCTCATCTTTCCCAAATCTTTCAATTAGAGTTTCCAGAACTTCTATTCCATGGTAATCTAAACCTATACCTTCAATATTCTTCAGAGTATGCTTTCTGTCTTATTATAGTCAGATCCTGGCTTTCCCTCACCACCCAAGGACAATGTTTCCTCTGAATACATTTCCATATCCCACTTCAACATCTGGAGGTAAGCACTGCCCTTGCTTCCCACTGCATACATGAATATAAGTCTCTTCTTTGAGACGGTAAATATAAAATCAAAATGACTCTCCCTTTAAGAAAAAAGAAATCTGGTTCTACCTCCACATTTCACTAAACTGCTCACAAAAGTAGCACGAAACTTCTGTATTATCAATTTCAAAAGAAACTCTTTGGTCCTTATCTTTCTGGATCTTCCTGGGATATATGGCAACATTATTCCTTCACTACTTCTTGATATCCTGTATTCCCTTTGTTTCTTTGGCACTGTTGTTCTTCTGGTTCTTTTCATACCTCTTGAGAAGGTTCTTTCACAGACTCATCTTTTTATTTTATTTTATTTTTTTGAGATTGTATTTGAGTTATTTTTTTTATTATGTTGTTAGTCACCATACAGTACTTCATTAGTTTTTGATGCAGTGTTCCATGATTCATTGTTTGCATATAACACCCAGTGCTCCTCGTAATACATGCCCTCCTTAATACCCATCACTGGGCTAACCCATCCCCCCATCACCCTCCCCTCTGAAACCCTCAGTTTGTTTCCCGGAGTCCATAGTCTCTCATGGTTCATCTCCCCCTCTGATTTCCCCCCCTTCATTTTACCCTATGACCCAGCAATTGCACTACTGGGTATTTACCCCAAAGATACAGATGTAGTGAAAAGAAGGGCCCTATGCACCCCAACGTTCATAGCAGCAATGTCCATAATAGCCAAACTGTGGAAGGAGCCGAGATGCCCTTCAACAGACGAACGGATAAAGAAGATGTGGTCCATATATACAATGGATTATTACCCAGCCATCAGAAAGGATGAATACCCACCATTTGCATCGACATGGATGGAACTGGAGGGGATTATGCTAAGTGAAGTAAGTCAAACAGAGAATGTCAATTATCATATGGTTTCACTTATATGTGGAACATAAGGAATAGCATGGAGGACATTAGGAAAAGGAAGGGAAAACAGACTCACCTTTTTAGCTAAGAATACTGAGTATTCCCGAGTTCTGTCCTTGGCCCACCAACTGTTTCCTTTCCTGTATCCCTTTTTCTCTGCAGACTCCCATTCTCAAATATAAATATATGTATGTGTGTATAAATGTATGCATACTTATTAGGTTAGACCATATGAAATTGCCATTGATCAAAATCTTTGACCTATAAAAATGGCAATTTCGTATGGTTCAACCTAGTATTTAGAGATAAACAGCTCTCTAGATTGGTGGAATAAGAGAAAAGATAAAAAATAACCCAATTATAAGATAGGAAGAAAATCACAAAAGGCTGCAAAATGAAGTCCCTAAAAATGCATTAGCTGGGAGAAGTGGTATGTACTGTCACGTGAATGATGATATTGGTCAGGTAGTAAGTACAAATAATATAAATAAACCTCAAATCCAAGTTATTGTGACAGGTAATTAATAAAGTGCCATTTGAATATGACAAACACTAACCAGGACAAAACATTTTCCTGTAAACGTGGCCAACAGTAAGTGATTTAAGGGGAAAACAATGTTACAAAAGAAACACTGCTTTTATCGTCATTCTTCTGGAATAGGAATAACCATTCTATACAAAGTGGTTCTCAAACTCACTTGGGTAAAACTCTTGGAAACCACAGTGGTCTTTTTGGGGAATACCCCAAAATAGTAACACATTTTATCATATAAGGTTGGAACAATTTTATTAGCAGAAAATGAGTATGTTCTAAATATACAATATGAATGTCAAAGGGGTTTTGCTTGCTTTGGCCATTATTGTATTCCCAGTGTTAAGAAGGGCATCTAGTACATGGTAGGTTCTCAATAAATATTTGTAAAATAAGTCTATCTATAAAAATATCAACCGCAACAATCTAAGTATGGTTAAGCATTTCCCACTTTGTTTTTATTAACACTAATTTGCCACCTGTTCATTCACTTTGTCATCTGCTACAAGTGGAACAGTTCAGGAAAATTGTACGCAACAAAATCTTTAAAACAGAATATTCTATGCATTAACTTTGATCTGAGTAATGCAGCACCTCAAGTCCAGGTCCAAGGGAATCCTGCTGGAAAACCACCGCTTCAGTATGGGTTTGGAATCATGTACCACTGGCCATAAAACAATACTTCCTATTCAGTCTAAGCAAGACAGTTTTTTTTACCTTGAAATAAATGGTTGATGTAAAGAAGAGCTGTGCTAGATGGTCAAAAAGAAGTGGTTTCAGCTCTAGGAATTAAAAAAAAAAAGATTATTCAAGATTATTTTAATTAATATTACACTGAATTAAAGGACCCCAAATTTTCATGATACATACCAGAGAAGCTACTAAAAGGAATCCAGCTCACAAGTTGAAGGAACTGTGATCGACAACAGAAGCCATCCCAGAGAGGAAGGCTCTTGTACAGGAATGTTTCACAGGAATAAAACCCCTCCTATAACAAAAGTCAACAGTAAAAACTCATATGAAACTCCTCAGTCCATAACTACTCTCTAAACAACCAGTTTATTCTGTGCTATAGTTGTTTTACTCTTAGACTAAATTTTTTGTCATCAGTATAATAAAAGCCTTGGGTTAGGTGCCAGAGTTCCTCATAAAAAGGACCAGATAATTAATGTTTAGACACATTACCACCTTCATCAACATACTTCTCAAATACCATAAAATATCAAGTGGAAAGAAGGTAAAAAGTCAAGTAATGGAATATTTTTAAAGATAAATGAAATTGTACTACTCTGGAGTATATGCAGTCTCTTGAGCAGTCCATAAAATGTATACAATGTTTGGGCGCCTGGGTGGCTCAGTCAGTTAAGTGTCCAACTCTTGATTTCGGCTTAGGTCATGATCTCAGGATCATGGGATCAAGCCCTGTGTAGGGCTCTGCAGTCAGAGGGGAGTCTGCTTGTCCCTCTCCCTCTGCTCCTCCCCCTGCTCAACTCACTCTCTTGCAAATAAATAAATGAAATCTTTTAAAAAATGTATACAATGTTATAATAGGGCTATAATTTCTCTAGAGGCCATAGACTAAATCCAAACTCTGGGCAGCTCCATCTGAAGGAACACTTGAGTGTGTAGACTGCTTATGCTTTCACCGAAGATCCAGAGCTTTCCTTTTTTTTCCCCCTGTGTAAATAATGGCATACACCAGGACTCCATCCTAGACTTTCTTCTCATGACATGAATTATCTGGACAATCTCATCTATAATATAGCTAAAACCACCACCTATATCATGAGGAGTCCTAAAGCTATATCTCTAGCTCAAATCTCATTCCTCAGCTCTAGACTCATTACCTAACTACTGGATATGACCTTTTAGATATCCCACAAGCATCTTTTAAGTCAAATTTCTGGGCGCCTAGGTGGCTCAGTCGGCTAAGCGTCTGACTTTGGCTCACGTCATGATCCCAGAGTCCTAGGATTGAGCCCCCTGTATTGGGCTCCCGACTCAGAGGGGAGTCTGCTTGTCCCCTGCCCGTCCCCCTGCTCATGTTCTCTCTCTCAAATAAATAAATAAAATCTTCAAAAAACAAGTCAGATTTCTTTCCTTCCAAGCCTGTTCCTTCTACATCCCCTTTCTTACCTCCCAAGCAGGAAACCTAAAAGTCAACCAAAATGTATCCCTTTATCCTCACCACCATAATCCACATCCAACTTCCAATTCAATGGTTTCACATCAAATCCTTAAGATTTAGTCAACACATTGTGCATCTCTTTTGTACCAGGTACCAAGCTAAATACTTGTACATGAAGAAAAGTTAGACATGGTTCCCACCAGCTGGGAGCTCATAATATGTGGAAAAACAGATCTGAAAGTGCCATGATACAGGTAAACACAGTGAACTAAAGAAGCATATAAAACAAACATCTAAACCAGATGAGGATGATGAGTATAGGCTTCCTGATGGTGCTGATAACTGAGCTGCAGCTTAAAGTACAACTAGGGTTACTTACGTATGCCAAATAATTAATTGGCTAGAACATTAAAAAATATTTGTTGATTATGAGAACACAGTAACCCTATGAGATCTATGTTAGCAGCTAATTCAATTAGTTGAATGCATTCAATTACATCTTCAGTTTGTTCTCTTACAGGCCTTTCTCTCTTATTTGCATAATTTAACAAATTCTTTCCTCAAATCCAACAGTACAGAGATAAACGTCAGTTCAACTCAACTCTATTTATAACGAGTTTTGAATTGAGCAAATACTATTTACAAATGATGCCGAGCACTAAAGAAAAGATATTCAATGGGTATCGAAATAAATTTTAGTAAGAAGTGGTGGAGCGTATATGAAGAAAGTGGAATCTTACTTGTAAGAAGCACTCTGCCCTGATGATAGTGTCCAGGAAGTTGGTAAATTCTTTTCCATGTTCATAATTATTCATCTTGTACCAAATACACTCTGGAGCAGAAATATTAAACATAAGTATATGGGTACATGACAATAAAAACTATACAAAACATAATTACCACTACTCTAAAGTGACATGACAAATATAAACAAGTAATCAGTCTTATATACCCTAACCAACTTGCACTGCAGACTGTAACATGTATGTGGAAATGACAGTGAAATGATCCTCTAGTACTTAATGATATAGGGAAAGCTTATAGTGAAAAAATTAGTAAAATTGACATATAATAAATGTGATTAGCTTAAGTCACATAGTAGTCCAAGAGACTATACATGTATGAATTAAAAGTTTAAGAACACCCCAAATTTCAACTAGGGTGAGCTGGGGATAATCTCAGAGTGGTAGAACTATAGTAAGTGGTAATCTAATTATATCATATCCTATCTAAAGAAAAACTGAGCAGGAAAAGGAGAGTTAGCCTGGAACCAACTAAAACCAACTTTAAATACTTGAAGAGTTAGGAGTTGCTTACCCAGGAAAGAAACAATCTGGTCAACAGAAATATGATCTCTAGAAAAACTGACCCCCTTGGAGGAATGAAATGATCAGGCTTTATTTACTATGGCCTGGATGAAAAACTCCCTTACTGCTCTTTCCTTCAATTCTGTAATTAAGAAATCTTCTAATGACTAATTTGGCTCCCATCTATACTGATAGCAGAGAGGAGATACTATTGTTGGCAGACATGAACATTTTGGTCACCAAAAAGAATTACTTCTATTATGAAATAGTAAGTTGATATTCTGACTTATATATTAGTCTTCTCTGAGTGTGGTTAGCATTAATCTGATGATTCTGGGGCCTGAACAGCAAGTTTCTGGACATACATAGATGAAGAGGCTTTGGACTGATGGTCATCAAAATGGAGCCACCCAGTGAGTTTAGGTGGCCATCCAGCAATGTTTCCTTAACACACCTCCTTTCTTACTGTCTTCTAAAATTACAACAAGGGAAGCATACCGGCTCTGAATATATGATCATCAGAGAAACAGTTACGGCATATGAAGGCTCCTCCTATTTAGAATTTGTCACCCTTATAAAAGATATGAACTATCTTGTTCCTTCCTCATTCACCTAATGCTTTTAAGTAACAATTTTTACCTTCTTGTAATGTTTGACTCAACCAGTGATAGAGTCTCAGTAAGATAGACTCGTCTTTGACACAGTTAATATAGTGAAGTAACAGAGAGTTGTTCAACACTGCACCCATCTGGGAAGGTAGCTGCAAAGAGATATCAATCAGTAAACTGTTAAGTATATGAAAAGTAGGTTACAGCAACGAGGAAATCATCAGAAAGCAAATATATAACAAAAATAAAAGGGTATAAAGATCAAATGGAAAATGCAGATAAGCACATGGTCCAGTCACATACCTCTAAGCAGTGGATGTTCTGTAAGAGTTGAGGGAAGCTTTTAAGCTGCTCTAGTGGAAACGATCCATTGCTACTGAGATAATCAGAAAGAGTCATCCCTTTTTTCCCGCATTCTTTACTGCAGCTACTAGAATTTAGCACTGGTATAACTGAGCAAGAATTCCATTTCTAAAGAAGGAAGACAATAAAACAATCTGTCAATAGACTAAACAGACTACAAACTAAATGTAAAAGCAATTGTTGAGGTGGCTCAATTAATGAAGTCTGAATGTGGTTTGCATAGAATCCTGGGCAATTAAAATGTATTTAAATATCTATAATCTCTTCAAACATCCGAATGGTTATTGTTTGGATTTAAGAAAGCTGCACAAATCATTTGGGGTTTTAGATACTTACTCTTTTTACAGGATGCACCTGAGCTGGACCTAACATCAACTTTAGAGGTTCAGGAGGAGGTCCCTGATTCCTTTGCCTCACAGCAAATAGAGCTGCCTTCCACAGATTCTCTGAATTCTTAAAATAGATCTAAAAAAATTGGATTAAAGTACATGAGCAGGTACCCATAACCCAAAGCAATATAAAATCCCAAACTCTTCATTAATTGAAAGTATATTAATTATGAAACATTTTGAAGCCATGCAAATCCATTTAGGTTTTTTTTTCTGATCAAGAATCTATTAAATACATCAAATAGAATCAAAACAAAGTGCCAATCCCTAAAAAAAACTTTCCAGAAACAGTGCCGCAATACCAGATCTTAAATCAGTATGCTGTGAACATTTCAGTTCAAATCTGCAAATTAACTTAATCAAAATAACATATTTCAATCTCAGTATGATTTTCCACTCCTTAATCCCTTACCTTCTTCCTTGCAGGCAAAGATACAGAAATCAAAGTAGGAGCAAAGAACTTATACAGTGACAATAAAGCCTGGAGATGAGGCTGCATTCCCTGAAATGAAATAAGAGTTTTCAATTTTCAATCCTATGGCATAAGGAAAAAAAGTAACGATAAAGTAAACAGATTAAGCGTATATTCAGACCCTAATTTTACTATGTGATATGGCTATAGGAAGATGCTATTGAAAATCAAAGAATAAATAAACAGACATTTAAATCAACGGTCACAAAACTACCCTCGCCAGCCTGTGGACTTCTCTTTTATGACCTTTTCTCCCGCTTTACTTCTTTATATTTTCTCTCTTCTTCTCTGTCCATGCCTTAGGTCTACCAGTCATACCTGCTAGCATGGCTTACTTTCACTGGTAGCATACTCAGGACTCAAAGTTGATTCATTCTTGATTTAGACAGAAAGGTGGGAAGCCAAGAAAACAGGGTAAAGAAAATATTAAAACCTTATTATCATAATTACTGGAAAATTCACTAGGAAATCTAACAACTGGTATGCAGTAGTCAAGCAGCTTGATAGAACTAAAACAAGTCTTAATAAAAACATTAATTTTATAATGACAAAAGTCATTACTGCTGGATACCTGTGTTAGATATATCTGGCTATCCAGAGAAAGCATACCACTAAAATGAATTACAAGGAAATAACCAAACTGTTTTATTATATTATAATTTTGTTGAATCAAATAGTGTACAAAATAAGGAAGGCAGAAAATGGGGCTTAGAAATACAGTATTCCTATTTTTATAACAGCTTCTTGAAATTAAATTTGTTATAACAAAACCAAAATAATCCAGTTTATCTATGCTGAAATACCTTTCCATCTCTGTACTTATTGTCAATTAGTATCAGTATTTGCTTTGAGTTGGAATGTTTTTTGATAGAGCGTATATTTAGTAGAGGAGAGACCTTTAGAATTTATCATCTAGTTAACTAAACATATCTTGGTTGTTAAAAAGTTGATACTCTCTTTTTTTAAAAAGAATTCCAGTTAAACATGGCATATTGAACATATGGATTTAACTCTGGGTCCTCCCAAAGCCCCACTGAAAACTAAAGGAATGAAAAAGGCATACAGCACAAGTTCAAAGAGAACAAGAGAGGACACAACAGCAAATGAGAGATCCCAACAAGATTTTGGAACCTAGAATGAAAAGGGACAAAGAGTAGCCAACTTAGCAAAAGAGAGAAAACAAAACCTAAAGTAGAACAGAAAAAGGCTCAAAAGCAGCAGATTCAGGTTTGAGAACTCTCAAAAAGGCTCAGGAATTTGAGGGACCAGATACCTCTGAAAAGTGGAGATAGTAGAAGTGCAAGAGGGGCAGAAAACAGGAGGATTGGTTGAAAACCTAAGAAGCAGTTAGAGCCCCAAATTCCTTCACCACACTAACAAACATCAAGGTTTTACTCTCTGAAGATGAAACTGAGTTTAGACAACAGGCACAGCTGAGGGAGGGTACCAGGACCCCTCCTCACCCCCTTCCACTGCTTACATCCCAGAGTGCTAGTAGCCAAGTTTATAACCTGTGATAGTTAATTTTAGGTGTCAACTTGGGTGGGCCCCAGAGTGCTCAGATATTTAGTCAAACATTATTTTGAGTGCTTCTGTGAGAGTGTTTTTAGATGAGATTAATACTTAAATTAGCGGACTTTGAGTAGACTGCCCTCCATAACTGTGTGGCCCTTATTCAATCAGTTGAAGGCCCTTATAGAACAAAAAGACCAGCCTCCCCCAAGCAAGAAGGAATTCTCCGGCAGCCTACTTACAAGACCATCTGTAACACCAGCTCTTTCTGGTTCTACAGCAGACTGCCTTTGGACTCAAACTGAAACATCAGCTCTCTAGGGTCTCCAGCCTGCTGGCCCCCCTGCAGATTATGGACTTGCTAGCTTCATAATCATGCAAGCCAATTCCTTATAATAAATATCCTTCTGTATATCTAGACATGCATCCTATTGGTTCTGTTTCTCTAGAGAAGCCTAATACAACCCCTAGGTAGGAAACAAGAAAATTCCTCTCTGGGAAAAGTGACACAGCCATCTGTGGGGCTCCCCAACGAACATCAAGATCCAACAATGAACAAGTCCTGCTCACATACAAAAGTTTCCAATCACCATTTTAGTTCTTTACTATTAAATATGGACAAACAAGGTTTGCCAGGCATTTGAGAAAGGCCTCTACTGTGAAAGACCAAACTAAAGAAAGGAATTCTGAGGAAGCAGAGAAAAAGCTGGAAATAGGAAAAAAAAAAAAATCATAGCCCAAGTCACATAGGCTCATGCCGCTCATTCTCCCCTCTGTAGAATCCTAGAAACCATCCTTACCAACCCTTAGGATGAGACCTAACTCCCACCCATGTTCCAAAGATTGGTCGCAACAGGGCCTGGTGTGTGTGTGATAACTACATGCCCGCTCCACTTCCCACCATTCATGCTTGCCACAAGAAAGACAATTTCTGTATTTTGTTTCCTTCATGGATTGGGAATTATAGGGTATGAATGGGTATAGAGGGGGTACATGCCTTTGCAGGTGTCAGAAATTCACATATTCAATTTATTTGCTCCAACCTGTAGATTATGCTTGTAACCACTATACATGTTGGGTTACATGTGAGCACACTATGCCTTCTTGGTTTGATATTGTTGGACTTGACCAAATTCACCAAAATTCAGCTAATCAAAACAATTATAAATGCATCTTTATAGGGGCACCTGGGTGGCTCAGTTGGTTAAGCGTCTGCCTTTGGCTCAGGTCATGATCCTAGGGTCCTGGGATGGAGCCCCGCATCAGGCTCCCTGCTCCGCAGGGAGTCTGCTTCTCCCGCTCCCCTCTGACCTTCCCCTTTACTCATGCTCTTGCTCTCTCTATCAAATGAACAAAAAATCTTTAAAAAAATGCATCTTTATAAATGGGCATTGATAATGGAATAATTTAATAATGTACTATATAAAATGTTATTAATGAAGCCATACATTTAATGTCTGGGTTAAAAAAAATTTTTTTTTTAAAGATTTTATTTATTTATTTGACAGAGAGAGGCACAGTGAGAGAGGGAACACAAGCAAGGGGAGTCGGAGAGGGAGAAGCAGGCTTCCTGCAGAGCAGGGAGCCCGATGCGGGGCTCGATCCCAGGATCCTGGGATCATGACCTGAGCCGAAGGCAGACGCTTAATGACTGAGCCACCCAGGCGCCCTGGGTTTAAAATTTTTACACAATCGTGTACTAAATCATTTTCTAAACTTGAACATATGCTGTTGTTTCAGTTAATACAAATCGATAAGATCTTAGTGATGTTAAGGATTTTTGGTATTTTCCTGAAATGCTTTGCTGTTCACATGGAAAAATGTACAACTTTTTCACCATTCATAATACTGTGAAATAAAATTCAATTTGGACAGAAACATTATCACTGATATCTTCAGAGAGCTAAGAGAAGATATTACACTGATAGAACCAAAACAGGGAGCTATGAAACAAGAATGATCATTGAATTGTACTAACAGGAAAGCATGTTATGTGCACTGGAGAATGAATATGCACATGTGTTTGTGTTTTTCATTAAATTTGAATGCCTTCAGGTAGGTTATGCAGGCTCCAGCAGTTAGGATAGACACTACAACTTCCTACTGTCTCATATCCAAAGCTTCACAGACTTCTGTTACCTGACAAGTGTAGTGGAAATAACAATGCAAGAGAGCTGTAAGGACAAGAGATAACGGTCAGGGAATATACTGAAGTTTATGTGTCCAGAAAGGAATGCTTTCCTAGATCACATCCACAAAAACATAACCAAACAAATAAACCAGACATTTTACTTTAATAGAGGAGTAGTTTTTGACTACTCCCTGACACTTGTTTTCCAGCCGTAGCAACCCAGTTCCCTAAACAGTTTTGCTGTTTGCCATCTATGTGTTTTTGCTTATGTTGTTCCCTCTGCCTTTCTCTTCCTCCTTGGCCTAGTTAAATCATATTAATCCCTTAAAATTTCTCTCAAGCATCACCACTCCTCCTTGACTCCAGTACTACTCTGAATTTTTATTCTGTTCACTAAGCTCCTCAGACAGTAAGTTCCTTGAAGATCATGACTCATTCAATTTTATATCCCCAAAGCCCAGTAACACACAGAGTACACTGGCCAATTTTAGGGCTTTTTGGTACTCACCATTTTGGCCTGAAGATCAAGCAGTTTTCTCACGCGAAATGGTTTAACTAGAAAAGGTAAAGAAAAGTACAGTGCATGGGGTTCAGAATAAAAATAAACCATGTGGCTCATACACCATCTTCTTACAACACATCAAAAATACAAACACCCTGTTCAGTTAAACCAGTAAGCAGATACTCTAAGATAAAAGTACTAAAAAACAATTCCCACAAAATCTTGGCATAGAACTATGCTACTAGTTAACTTTATAAAGGCCAATACAAATGCTAATTCCACAGAGTAAATGTAATGCAACTGGAATGAAAATACTCACCATTCTCTTTTCTGGTAAGTAAATATAACAAATGGCAGACATAAGGGCACTGTTAAAACATAAAAAAATTAAAAAGAGAAATGACAATATATCTTGAACAGAGTGGCAACACATTTTCCTCAAATGTCAATCTTCTGATTAAGTAAAAAGGCCTCAGGATTTTGTTGAACAATAATTCTAAAAGCTTCCCTTTTTCATACTACAACATAGTGGTAAAAGCCAATAGTGTTAATTGGTACCTCATTATACCATTTTTAAGTTACTTTTGGAATATAGAAACACTGCAGACAATTTGAAAACGGAAGAAGATCCTCCTAACAAAAGTTCATGTATTCCTTCCAGTAGTCCATATTTATTAAGATACAAAGTTAAAACTTTTATCTTGATTCCCCACTCAAAAGCATTTTCCTGGGGCACCTGGGTGGCTCAGTCGGTTAAATGTCTGCCTTCGGCTCAGGTCATGATCCCAGGGTCCTGGGATCGTGCCCTGCGTCAGGCTCCCTGCTCAGCAGGGAGTCTGCTTCTCCCTCTCGCTCTGCTCCTCCTCCCTGTTTTTGTTCTCTCTCTGTGTCAGATAAATAAAATCTTTAAAAAAAAAAAAAAGCATTTTTGGCGCCTGGGTGGCTCAGTTGGTTAAGCGACTGCCTTCGGCTCAGGTCATGATCCTGGAGTCCCTGGATCGAGTCCCGCATCGGGCTCCCTGCTCGGCAGGGAGTCTGCTTCTCCCTCTGACCCTCCCCCCTCTCATGTGCTCTCTCATTCTCTCTCTCTCAAATAAATAAATCTTAAAAAAAAAAAAGCATTTTCCCATGTTGTTTGGTCTTCAAATGATCATTTTCAATGATGTTAACATTCCAGGGAGTGGACATACCATAACTTATTTAACCATTTAGTTCTGTTTGGCAAATAACATACACTCAATAAATCTGTTACTTCAGTTGCTGAATGATTGGTTCCTTTGTACCATTTCATTTTGAGGGTCCACTTCTTGAGGTTTTATTCTAGACCAGGGGACAGCAAACTACAGTTCACATGTTTTAGTAAATCAAGTTTTAGTAGAACATAGCCACACACGTTCATTTATGAATCATCTATAGCTGCTTTCTCGCTACAACAGCAGAGCTGAGTAGTTTTGACAGAGACTCGATGGCCCACAAAGCCAAAAATATTTACTATCTGGCCCTTTACAGGAAAAGTTTACCACTACCTGTTCTAGAAGAAAACATAGGAGAAAATCTTTATGACCAGAGGGTGGTAGTTTTTCTCTTTCAGAAAAGAAAATAAAATGATAGCCACAAAATAAAACATAAAAGAAAAAGCCTCCATAAATGGGAGATCATTAAATTAAGAACATCTGTTTATCAGATAAGGACATAATCTATCGCAGGGATGAGTAAACAACAACCTGCGGGTCAAATCCAGCCCACCACTGGTTATTATAAATATAGTTTTATTGGAACACTGCCACAGTTGTTTATGTATTGTCTATAGCTCCTTTCACACTACACTAGCGGAGTAAGTAGTTGTGAGAGACAGTATGGCCCTTACACCTGAATATTTACTACATGGCACATTAAGGAAAAATTCGCCGCTTGCTTTAGATGTTAGGAAATCAAAAAAGTAAATTACATAATGGAACTAGAGAATACAATGAAAGCAAAGACTTTCTTTAAACAAATTTGAATCATTTAAAGTCTGAAGTACAGCATTCTATATTGCCTCCTCTACTTAGAAATGGGTTCAGATTCTGGACATACTTGTAAAAAGCATGAATTTAGATACAGGATTTTTTTAAGAGAACATAATACTATGACCAAGTCTGATATATCTTACACAAAATACAGTAACTTCCAGTAAAAACGCACAACCTCACATCCCTAGGATATAAACCATTAGCAACACAATTTGTCATGCTATGTACGAAATGAGTGTCACACAATCACTTGCTCCAGGTTCCAGCATTATAGTAAGTCTGACGTCCCCTTTTAATCACATCGTATACATCTAAAACTTTACAATTGCCTTTCTGACAAATAGTAACCACTGCCTCTGAGTCACTAAAGAGTCAGGCTCCCACCAAATTATATGCAAATAACTTTCAGAAGTAACACTTTTAAAAGTTAGGTTCCCTATTTCTTGATCGGGGTGATATTTACACAAATATATTCAGTTTATGAAAATTAAATGAGCTGATCACTTATGATACAAGCTATTTTCTCTATATACTTCAATAAATATTTTTAAGAGACAGAAAAAGGGAAAAGAAAAAAAAAGTAGGTCTCCTTCCTGCTTGCCAAGCTGAGCAAGAAACTCATCAACATCATGAAAACTATTCAAGTATACTGCAATTGATTTGACATTTATGAGTATCTTCTGTTCATTCACTCATTCATTCATTCATGAAACAAAAATTATTAAGCAGTGATTAAAACAGACAAAAAGGCCTGATCTTATGAAGTTTATATTCTATGTGCCATGAATAGTGTTACTAAATTCTTGGGTTATAAAGGCTCAGTCCCTGCCTAGAAGAACTCAGTCTCAGTCTATTAAGCTATTACAAGAAAAGAAAAGCATGCTTTAGTATTTCTCACTCTTTACAAAGTATGCTTAAACACAAAATTCATTTGTTTTGCAATTTGGTTAGTTTATGAATAAAAACAGTATGAGGGGCGACTGGGTGGCTCAGTCAGTTAAGCATCTGCCTTCGGCTCAAGTCATGATCCTGGGATCCTGGGTTCACACTACCACATCGGGCTCCCTACTCAGCAGGGAGTCTGCTTCTCCCTCTCTCTCTGCCCCTCCCCCTGCTCCTGCGCGCGCTCTCTCTCTCTCTCTCTCCCTCAATTAAATAAAAAATCTTAGGGGCGCCTGGGTGGCTCAGATGGTTAGGCATCTGCCTTTGTCTCAGGTCATGATCTCCGGGTCCTGGAATCGAGCCCTGCGTCAGGCTCCCGGCTCAGTGGGGAGTCTGCTTCTCCCTCTCCCTCTGCCTTTCCTCCTGCTTGTGCTCTCTCTCTCAAATGAATAAATAAATAATCTGAAAAGAAAAACATGAGGTTAAGAGAGATGTCAAAGGTAAGGAGGAGTCAATCACATACTACTCATCATTCATCCACTCCTGTGTACAACAGGGTAAGCGGGAGGAATGAGCATTCTTACTTTCTCTTGCTACTTCAAGGTACTACTCTTTCATTCTTATATGAGAGACTTCCTTGACACTTAGTCCACCCAACCTCATTTCCTCCAACTTACCTATACCCTATCTATTCACTGCTGGCCTCTTAGTAACTTCCAAAAGCTCACAGAGCAGAGGACTTAGACATCTGATCCAGTCTTCCACTCTAACCCTAATCCCAATAACATGCCAGAAGATTTTAATGTCTATATCAACAAATCACCTTGGTCTTAGAGCTTATTGACCTTCTTAATTCTAATGACCTGATTACCATTTATAGAAATACTGTATATTAGATACCCTGAATAACCCTGCCTGCTTGTATCTAGCTGTTTTAAGTACATTTCTGAGCTGGCATGAAAGCAAAGAAACTGCAGTTCCCAAACACAAAGTTTAAGAGGAAACACTGAATACTGAACAAGCTCTCTCCCCAAGATTTCTGCCAAACCTTAAAAATCTTGAACTTTGAGCTTTAATAGCTACAAAGGGAGGTAGGAGCGGGTTAGCAGATGGTAAAGCTTAGGGCCCACCCTGGGAACAGTGGCACCTGGGTGGCCCAGTTGGTTAAGCGACTGCCTTCAGCTTGGGGCATGATCCCAGGGTCCTGGGATCAAGCCCTGCATTGGGCTCCCTACTCAGTGGGGAGCCTGTTTCTCCCTCTCCCTCTGCCCCTCCCCCACACTTGTGCTCTCTCTTGCCATTTCTCTCTCTCAAATAAATAAATAAAATCTTTAAAAAACTGGGAACTTTAAGAGCTACACCCTAAGTGTATGGGTGTGAAATAAAAACACACCCCACTGTGCTGAAAAGGACAGCAAGTAAACTTGGCTGTCTTGGCCTTGGGTTTGGGTAAAAGGAAAATAAAGCCTCTCCAAAGAATATGCAACCACAAACCAGTCCTATATAGGCCTGCAGTTTGAACTTAACACTAGTGGTATGACCTGGAAAACCTGAAGTGAAGAATTTAGAGTGGTTGCAGCTTAGTTGTACTTCCCAGAAAAAGCATATATCTGATAAGGGACTTGTACCTAAAATACAGAAAGAACACTTAAAATCCATTAATAAAAAGACAACCCAATTAGAAAAATAGGCAAAGGACCTGAATAGACATTTCTCCAAAAAAGATATATAAATGGCCAATAAACACATGAGAAGGGCACCTGGGTGGCTCAGTTGGTTAAGCGACTGCCTTCGGCTCAGGTCATGATCCTGGAGTCCTGGGATCGAGTCCCGCATCGGGCTACCTGCTCAGCAGGGAGTCTGCTTCTCCCTCTCCCGCTCCCCCCTCTTGTGCTCTTTGTCTCTCTCACTCTCTCTCAAATAAATAAATAAAATCTTTAAAAATAAATAAATAAAATAAATAAATAAACACATGAGAAGATGTTCAACGTCACTAATCATTAGAGAAATGCAAACCAAAACCATGTGTTCATGAGGATGGGATGAAATTGGAACCCTCATACACTGTTAATGGGAATGTAAAATGGTCCAAACTGTGGAAAACAGTTTGGTGATTCCTCAAAGTTCTAAACACAGAATTAATATACAATACAGCAACTCCACTCCTAGGTATATATCCAAAGAACTGAAAGCAGGACTTGGACAGTTACTTGTATGCCGACATTCACTGCAGCATTATTCATGTTAGCCAAAAGGTGGAAACAACCCAAGAGTCCACCAGCGAGTGAACAGATAAACAAAATGTGGTATATACATACAATGGAATATTATTCGGTCATAAAAATGAATGAAAATTTGAAACATGCTATAAGTTGGATGAAACTTGAAGACATTATGCTAAGTGAAAGAAGCCAGACACAAAAATTATATGATTCTGCTTATATGAGGTACCTAGAATAAGCAAATTCACAGAG